TAGCCAAAATACACGAGGGAGGAAGACGATGCTAGGCGTCTGGCTTTTATTCCTGAGGAGGTGTGTGATCCTGCTTTCTGGATGGTAGTGGTCCTTGGTCCAACGAAGAATGGAGCTTCCCCTCGCACCAGGCACCGGGCTCTGGACATGGTGGGGTGTCTGGAGGGCCCTGACTCTGCCCTCTGCTCCCCTTCCTGCCCAGCTCCCCCTCCGGGGCTCCGAGGGACACTGGATCTCCAGGTTATCCGCGTGCGGATGGAGGAGCCCCCGGCGGTCAGCCTCCTTCAAGACTGGTCCAAGCACCCCCAAGGCACCAAGGGTGTGGGAGCAGGTGACACTCCAGACTGGCCCGCGGTTCTGTCGGAATCCAGCACCACGGTGGGGGGACAACCAGAGGCGGGCAGTGGTGTGTAGGTTCTCGCTTTCCCAGGGAGGGGATGGCGAAGGCGGCGGAGCGGGTAGAGGAGACAGCGGCCCCTTTTAGCTTCTTACTTGGAGCCGCCAACTCTGCCACCTGATAGAGAGCAAAGCCAGGTGCTGAGGCAGGATGAAGGGGAGGAAGGCAGCGGAGTCCAGTTAGTCGGGGTCCCTGGAAGATGTCTGCCGGGCAAGGTGGGCGAGGGCAGCCGAGGCTGTCGTGAGGTAGGGCATTGGGCCTGTGGAGAACACCCACCCCGATCCTTTTGCTGACCCAGACCTCTCTGTCCCCCGACCTCCCACCCTCTCTCTCTTAGCCCCCCACCATTCTCCCTTGGCACAGTGCCTTACATAAGAGGTGGTCATCATGGAGTTTGAACTGAGTCCCACTACCTCGGGGGACGCCTCTCCTCCCCCACCTGTTCAGGCTCCTTAACCAGGAGGCCTCCATTACCTCTTCCCGCTCCATCCCTGCAGGAGGCCCAAGCAGCCCACCTGGGGCCTCCAGTTCACTCCCACACTTTTTTCCTATTTTCCTGTTGTATATATCTCCTTTGTTGACAATAAATTATTTTTTTTTATTAAGAGAGTTCCGTCTGGGCCATCATTGGGGGATGGGGTTTGCTAGCAGGATATCTGGCCTCCTGGAACAACCTTGATAGGCAGGAAGGCCAAAAGGTTCTGGGCGGGAGCCAGAAAGCCGCTTGTCCCCTGCCCCAGAGGTGGCGGGGTTTTATTGGGCCAGAGGTCTAGGGCTGACTTGGCGTCAGTCACAAAGGAGCACCTTGCCCCCTTCCCTTACCCCTGCCTTGGAATGGGGTCAGAAACACCTCTTCTTTAGCATATTCTACTTTCTGACTCTTGACAGACCACTGTCCAAAAGAGGCCACGTTGGGGCTGCCCAGGGGCTCACACCCTAGGAGCTGAGGCTTAACCTTACCCTTCTAAAGTGAAATAGTTGTGGCCAGCCTGCAGCAGGGGACAGGCCCCCCTCCCCTGCCCCACTGTGGGGAGGTGGCCATTGGGTCCCAGATGCAGCCCTGCCTTCAACCTTTCAGCTCCACACACTCAGCCACACAGCTCTGTCCCACCCCACCCTCCCCTCAGTTTAATTAAACCCGAGCCTTAACCTGGTTTCCCCATTCCCCAGGCCGGGAGATGGCCCACTTTGGGTCTCTACCAGATTTCTTACCTTACCTTCCTAAACCATCACAGGCCAAATCATTTGCGGGGGTGGTTTTTCCCCTTTGGTAATATGGAATTCTGCAGAGGAGCTCAGGGAGCTCCCTCAGGCCCCAAACCCCACTTGAGAATCCAGGGGCCAGTGAGATGAATAGGACAGTCCCCCTCTGCACCTGGACTGCTGTCTGCTCCTGAGAATCACCGAGCGTTCAGGGAGAGGGCACAGCTAGGACTCGAGGGCAGTGGTTCCTGAATGACACTTAGCCAGATTTTGAGACCATCCAGAAACTAATTTTTAAATCAGGAAGGATCTGGACCTAGGTGCTGTGCTGTGTGCTTATCAGAGCTGGTGTCACCCTGGACCAGCATGGGCCAAACCAGTCGTGCATGATCACACAGTGTGGTTGACTCAGGGGGCATGGTCTCTTCTCCCCATCTGACTTGCTTGGAGCCCAAGGATGTGTGGGGCCTTTGTGCAGGGGAGATTAGAAGACTAGTATGTGGCGGAGAGAAGGCGGGCCAAGATTCAGGAACCGTGTGTGAGCCTAAGGCGCCTCCACCAGTGCGTGATGTCAGGCGGGCCGTGCAAGTCCCCCGGGTCTCTACCACCTTCCTGCAGATTGGCAAAACTTGTATCCTCCCTCATAGGAATGGATAAATAATGCTGAAAATCTGGCTCTGAAACAAACATGAATTATTGCAGGTGATTTCTGTCCATCCTTTCAATCCTGTGACTGTGTTTACATTTATGCCGATGTGCTTTTAAACAACGTGGCTGTGTTGCTGGATGTTCACAATTGAGAAAACGTATATACAAGCTCGTTGTAAACTCGTGAAGCTAAATGCACCTGCTCTGCTGTTAATGTGATTTACGGTTTGGCCCACTAGACTGTGAGCTCCTTCTGGGCAGGGACTAGGTTGCAGTGACTTTGTTTTCCTAGAGCCCTGCATAGGGCCTGGCACGTAGTAGGTGCTCAATAAATCGGTAAATGTTTGTCAAGTGCCCTCTTGGTGTGTTTTTCCTATGTGACTTTTTTCAGTGCCAACTGGTCTGTGGAGTGTTATTCTGTCTGTTCTGGGTTGCTGTCCCAGTGACTGGAGTGCTGTGTGGCTGAAATGAGATGGCATTCGGACCCTTTGTAAACTGTAAAGTCCTGCACACCCCCAAGGCATGGTAGAGGGATGGGGCTGGGATAGGAGAGTGTTTCTGATGGGATGGCAGCCTCTCTGTGTCCATCGCTAGATCTGTTGGGAAGGAGGCCCCCAGCCGACCTCCCCAACACAGCACAAGCAGGGAGGGGGCTGCTGCTTGCAGGTGTGGTGACAGGTAAGGTGGCTCCCCTGCACCCTATGTGTCTTGTGTCTTCCCGCCTCGCTGGAACCAAGTTCCTCAGCCCTGAGCCTTCACCGCCAAATCTGCTCAGTGCTTCTCGCCTGGAGGGAACATCGTTCCTGGCACAGAATGCACCAGCCTCCAGGGAAGGAAGCAGAGCAGGCCTTTCGGCCTCCCCAACACCAATGTCAATGGCTCAGACCTCGAGCTCCACACCTAGGAGACCCAAGAAGCGGGAACAGCAAGGGGCAGCAGGTGGGGGCGACCATCTCGCCGGCTCAGATTCCACAAATGTGGATGCAGGCCCCGGGGGCAGGTGCTGTGCTAGGAACTGCGGAGTGCAGACAGAGTACCTGCCCTGTTTTCCACTGTGAGTCACCCTGCCTGTTGCACAGGTGAGGAAACTGAGGCACCACGAGACGAACCAGGTGACCTGCCTGCTCTTCCAGAGCTGATAAAGGAGCGGAGGTAGGCCAATCCCAGGTCTGTCTGGGCTGTTGCCTCCTGCCATATATGGCCTGTTTCTGCTTTAAGAAGATCATGACATCCCTCTGGGACAGCCCTGGGCACCCATAGGTTCAGGAGGAAGGGCAGGGCTAGACTCAGGTGGGAGACAGGTTATTTGCAATGACAAACAGCCCCCACCCCATGCTACAGCACACTGCTGGTGGTGCCCAGTGTCCTCGCCATCCCAATTTCCAGAGTCCCTGGGGTCCTAGCACTTGCCGGCAATGCCAATTGGAAAGGGTCAGCACAGATGTGGAAGATGATTCATGTCACCTGTCCCAGGTGACAATGGCTGGGAACCAAGCTGAGGCCTTTAGAATGGATGGAGTCTTGCTCCTCACCTGCTCCCTTTCTCCAGAAGTTGGGTCCTGGGCCCCTGAGTAGGCCCCACCTGCTAGCCCTGGCCTCACTCAGCAACCTGTGACCCAGCTCAGGCTGGGCTCAGAATTTGGAGACCACAAAAGCAGTGACTGGTACAATGATGTCCACATGAGCTTGGGCCACTCATTGGGCCTTCTCCCATCTAGACTCTGCCCTGTCCCCTCACTCCCTCTCCCTGACCTGGGGTGAGTCCTCCTATCCACCTTAGTACCCACATCTTCCTGGGTGAGCGGTTTGCCTCTGTGAGACTCACCCATGGCTCTCCAAGGTCAGAACTGTGGTTCAGACAGCTGTATGGAGCCAGTAGCTCAGACTCAAAAGACCACACAGACCTAGGCCCACAGCTCTGAGCTGGGGGAGATCACATGCCACTCCAGGCGCTTGGAATACAGCTGCGAACACAAGAGACAGCCCTGCGCCCCCGGCACCCCCACTCCAGAGGATGCACAGCAGACAAGGTTCTCCATATGTCCAGCATGGTTGAGTGCTGAGAAGAAAACCTGAATGATGGAAAGGCACTATTTTTGCCATTTTTCTTTTCTTTCTTTTTTTTTCTTTCCTTTCTTTTTTATCATGTACATTTTCAAACACACTCAAAAGAAGAGAGAGAATACCAGCTTCAAAAAATATGGTCAATTTTGGTTTATCTTTATCTCCCTTCTGGATTATTATAAAGCAAATCCCAGACATTATGTCATTTCACCTGTAAATACGTCTGTTGGTATCACTAAGAGATTCAGACTCTGTTCCTATCATTATCACACTTTAAAAATGAATAATCCCTTAATATCATCTAATACCCAGTCAGTGTTCACATTCTGCAACTGATCCATGAATATCTTTTAAAAATTCATTTTGGTAAAATACACATAACATAAAATTTACCATCTTAACCACTTTCAAGTGTACAGTTAAGTAGTAAGTACGTTGACATTGTGCAACCAGTCACCAGAAGTCTTCATGAACATCTTTTTACAGCCGATTTGTTTGAATCAGGATCTAGTAAGATGCACACATTGCATTGGGTTGATATGTTTCAACCTGTAACAGCCTGTCTTTCCTTCTTTTTCCTTTCTTTGCTTTTTCCTTGTTTAATTAAGAACACAGCGACGTGTTCTGTGGACAGAATTTCCTCCGTTCTGTTCTTGGCTGATTGCATCCGCCTGGGCCCGGTCAGCGTGTTCATCCATGGAGGGTTGCAGTGTTTAGGTGGGGGCTGGAGAGGGCTTCCTCAGGAGGACACATCTAAGCAGAGAGAGAGCCATGCAATTAACAAGGGAGAGGGAGTCCTGGGCAGAGGGAGCCCCGTGGCTTTCGTTCCCCAGGGATTCACAGACAGCCTGCCATGTGCCAGGAAATGTTTGAGGCACCAAGGACACCACCGGGAACCAGGAAATGCCCTTGCTCTCCTTGGGGCTGGAGACCTCAGGCACTGTCCTCCAAGTAGGATGGTGGTGAGAAAAGCAGACTGTCCCCCCGCAGAACCCTGCCTGCTGGCTCCAGGAGCAACTGCCCAGCTTTGGGTACGTGGGGACATCATCTTGGCACACTGGTAAGTCACTGCCCAGCCTGTCCCCTACCTCCTCCAGAAAGCCAGTTAGAGCCCTGGACACCAGCTGGTACCGACTCCCCTCTGCCAATTCCAAGCCTGGGGCTGCTGCTGGCCCACCCAACATGCCCCCGGATGGGAGCTCCCTAAGGGATGGCCTCTATGCCTCATGGGTCACTCCCATTCCCACCAGTCCTCCTCCCCTACAATCCTTTGCTTATCCTTAGATCAGACTCAGCATCACCTCTAAGAAGCCTTCCTCGCTCCTCTGTCTAGTTCCCATATTCCCACAGGCCCCAGATTATTCTCTTTGGGTATCCCACTCTGGGCCTCTGCCAACATGGCAGCCTGGCTCTCCATCCAGGATGCTCAGCCTTCTCAACAACGGAGGTGTCAGTACCCTGCCTGTGGACGGTGACTCAGTGTGGGGGTGTGGGTTGGTTCAAAGGGCACCTCCTCCCAGAAAACAGACTCTGAGGGTGCCCTTCTTTCTGATGCCCCTTCGCCTCTCTACCCCTCCCCCCAGGTTGGTATGCAGCGGCCTCCGTGGGCAGCTAGACCTTCCTATTGCCCTGCAGGAACATATGATCAAGGCTGGCAGGGACACTGTCCCCTCCATCCCAGGCAGGGGCCAGGT